CGTAGTTAGACCATTCCAGGGATGACGATTTTGAAATACTTTCAATAAGATAATTGAGGAGTAATTGGAGGTGTTCGATTTTCAAGTCATCGGTCTTCGTTTAAGGGTGTCTATAAAATGAAAATATGAAGTCTCTCAAACAGACGTCCAAATAATCTCGTAATTTAAATTTTGTGACAGAATGGTGTATATTATTAATAAAATAAAAGAGAAAACAATATGAGTCTTGGTTTTGGGGTCTTCGGTCTTCATTGTATAAACACCCACTGCCGTCGTAATCATATTGTCAATTTCTCTACCCATGTACAACAGTCTCGTAGTTTCATAATGTTTTATAATAATTCATAAGCATTAACGAGCTAAGATTTCTTTTTTTTTTCTCAGACAATAATTGTCCAGCTGGATGCCGATGTAGCGGCTTTAGCATTTATTGCTATGCAATCAACTTGAATTCAAATATAAGATTCAATCCTTCAGTGGAGAGGCTGTAAGTACGATATTCATTAATAATCTTAGTGGTAAAGTCTGGCGTATTGTGTTTATTTTAGATTTTATAACAATTTGTAGCCGTTTTGTTAGAGAATTTGCTGCAATTTTATAGTCAATATTAAGTAGAGATTTTTCTCCAATTATTGATATTTTCCGGTTCACCTTGTTTATAAACCAGATTTAGTATACTTCTTCTTTGTGTCATAGATAATTAGTTCTGTGTGAAACCATAAATTAGTGAATCTAATAGGTCCCATTTCTTCCAAGAAATGACTATGAAATTCTACAGTAATGCGATCATTACCTGGAGATTCGTTAAGTTCATTGACTTACCTGCAGTTTCACATTATTGCACATAAATTCCCCTTCTAACTATTCTATATCAATTGGTGATAATGGCACTGTGCTTATGTTATTAGCTATTCAATACATTCTTCATTTATAATGTTACCATTGGCGTACATGTGCGATTAAAAATGTACTTGTTCTCTAAGTGTTTTAGCTGTCGAAGTAGTGTACGATCCATCAGATTTTTAAATTTATTTTTTGTTTTGTTACTTTTCTCAAGACCAAGGAAGTACTTATTATTTCTTTCTCATTGTTCAATCCATTTCACTCTGGATATTATTTGAGATCCTTGATCTTCTACATGATAAATATTTTTGTTTTTAATTGTAGTTTTAATTCATCCTTTACATCATAGTTAACAATTTTTTATTTAACTGTTTTATTGTTTTTGTTATGCTTCCTTTCTTTTTATTTTAATTTTTTATTTTTTTTTTAATTTTACATAATTTATGGAAAACTCTTTAACATATATCTCTGGGATTTATTTAGGTATCTTCTATGTTTGAGATAGTAATAATTTAACAATTAGCATCGTTATTTAAAAGGTTTGCATTAAAATTCCACAGGCCAGGGCTCCCTTTCTCTACATAAAGGTCAATTTTAATGATCTGTTAGAATAGATGGAGGTTTGTCGCATGACTCTATGCAGCTTATGCTGTCCATAGAGACAAGCCAAAAGTCTAACTGCCTATTTTGATTTACTTTTCTACTCCATGTGAATTGCGTTATTTCCGGACCAAAAAGGTTATATAAAAAATCATTTTGCAGGTGAAAATGTGAGGCTGGTTCAAGATGCCATAAACTATACTGAATTAGAAAATACCGACTGGGCCTTAATATTTTTAGACTTTCAAAATGCCTTCGACTCACTTAGCAGAGAGTTAATGATATTAATATTTAAAAAAATAATAATTTCGGAACATCATTCATAAAATGGGTGAACACCATATAGGCCTATACCATAACTGACTGTGTAACAAAAAAATAACGGATGGATTTCTGAAAGTGTTCATATGTCAAAAGGAATTAGACAAGGGTGCACTTTATCATCAGTCCTGCTTTTGATATTGGTAGCTGAGGAATGGCAACAGCTCTGAGAAATGATAAAAGCATAAACGGAATAAAACTACCATTAACTGAGAATGAAGTTAAAATCGCGCACTTTGCCGTCTTGTCTGTACTTGATAAGTTGAGCCTTAACAGAAGTCTATTAGTTATAGAATCTTTCTGTAAGGTAATTTGAAAGAAATTAAACACAAATATAACCAAGGCAATGTTGGCAAACGGAGAAGACAAACCACATAGTTTTAGCTAGGGCATGGTTGAGCCCATAAAGTTTCCTCGGTATCTACTTAGGACACGATAAGCGAGTATGTGAGCATAAAAACTGTTCTGAAAAAAAGTAATTAGTTTAGAAAGACTATTAAGTTCATTGAATTAAAGAAATCTCTCAATTATAGGCAAGATGCTTATAATTAAAACGCTTGCCATATCAACACTTATTTATAATGCCAGCATTATTAAAACGCGAAATGAAATTATAAAAAGGTAAAAAAAGTTAATATTTAATATTTTTTTGGAATGGAAAAGTTGAGAAAATAAGGAGGACCACCTTAATAGCTGATTATGACCAAGGCAGCCTAGAAATGGTTGACTTTCAATCACGAATAAAACCACTACAAGTCAGCTGGTTTAAGAGATGCTTAATGGAGATATAAGCAAATGGAAAGAAATTCCTTTGTATTATCTTTCAAAAATTGCTCCAGTTGATTGTTATCTAAATATGTCAAATGTGAATGATAGTAACAAATTAATGATGAGTAAATTAAAGTACCTTTATATGGGAATTATTCAGTCATTAGCTGCTTATAATAGGACAAAAGCATCTCCTGCAACTATTAATGAAATCATGAAACAAAATATATGGGGAAATATTCAAGTTATTTTTAAAAATAAATATTTATACTTTAAGCACTGGATTGACTCTGGTATTCTGAAAATTAAAGATGTAAATAAAACAAGGTCTTCTGATTTCCAATGTGATATTCGATAAATTAAACAAAATACATAATTGAATTTTTAATTTAAATTAGAAAACCAATCTCTTTGAGCTGGACATACTTTTTTTTTCTATCTCTCTTTCATGTGTTGTGAGTATATACCCATTTCCTAGAACAACATTTTAAGAAGTTACACTAATTAGTGATCTTAATCTATTTATTGTGTTCCATACTTCTTTTGCATACACACAGTTATAGTAAATGTTTTTTCATCCTCCACCCCGTTGCACTTTAAACAATTTTTAGAATCAGAGATTCCACATGTAAAATATTTTGTTACTTGGCAGGATTCTACGCAAAAATTTAAAATTAAGACGTGCCAACTTTTATTTTAGCGACTTTAGTGGTCCATATGTTGGGCCATGCAATCTCTTTATTAAACTCTCTCCCACTTTGTGCTGCATGTGGGAGTGCTTTTATTTGCAATAATACATTTATAAATTTCAAATGTTTTTATTTTCAGTATATGTTTATGTGCATCAGCATTCGGATTGTTTGCGATGTCGCTTGAGTTTTGTGCATTTATCTTTTTTATGATAATTTGTTAACTTGGAAAAAAGTTCCGGCACGCCGCCCCCAACGGCGAGTGTGCGAAGCACAATTCGAAGTTGGTAGTGGAACCTTGGATTAATAATGGTTTTGTGAGATTTGTGTGATAAACTTTAATTACCCCTATTTCTCTACTGGACGTCAGTGGGAGCTGATAACTTGTGAAGTCAGGAGATGGTGGTATCCCTAAGTTGTATGTATCAAATTGACGCCCAAAAACCATGTAGTTATTAATATTTTTTTATCAAATGAA